ACCGTACTCTTTTTTTAGACTGAAAGTGTTGGCTTTATAATAACAGGAATTCTCCGCCTTAGGCTTATCTTGACGCCTCCATATTCTCTTCAGACTACAGTGCTATATTGTTTTTACTATAATCCATGGGTGCTCATCTTTATTTTTGGAGGTATATATTTATATATACTTATCAGCTTTCCGCTGAAAGTATTCTAAAGTATGTTAATTGCCAAAAAATGCGAAGATGTGTTTAGATGCTAAAATCCCATTATAAGCAAAAAACTGGCAAATCGCTTAATTTTCGTACGCAGTATTCTGAATTTTCAAATCTGCGGTCAATCTAACAGAATTTTTTGAAACGAAGAGGAACGATTCAAGTTTCTCTTTTTTATCTTTTCTCCAACGAGGGAAATTCCCAAGGCTGGCGCCACAGCAAAGTCGTGACTAACAAGAGAATGGTCAGAAATCGAAGTAACCAAACCAGACAAGCTGCATACCATAGATGCGGCATGTAGCGCTGACTCTAAATCTGTCTCCCTTATCTGCTTACCGCTTTTTTGAACGAAGCTATAAGTTATTAAATGCCATTATTTTGCTACGAAATTATGCGTAAAAGTAAAAATTTGGCCGTACAGAGCGACGTTCGGCTTAGTGCTGCGTCAAAACATACAGCTAACTTACTTTAGATTTTCAAAGCCGAAAGCTGAACTATAATTGCAGCAGTGTGCTCAATCTTGCAGTTTTTATGTACAATTTTATCACAAGAAAACTGCTTGTAGCTTCAAAATCCATGTTCGACTATCCATAAATATTGGCATAGTTCATTTCTTCTGGATTGATTTCTTAGCAGCGTCCAAGATTGGTACAGATATTTATTCCACAACCACAATATACAGACTGACGTTTCGGCAAACTCGCCTTCTTCAGAGTCTGAAAAGTCGAAAATACATGGGTGAGCTATCCGATCAAACACCTTGTCGACTACAGAAAAAGCCCAACCCTCTAGAAAAGCAACAGTGTCAACCAAAACGCAAGATTAAGCCAGTGCACACCTTAACAGATAATAGACTTAGTGGAAGCAGACCACTTATGTCAAAAACTGTACTGCCTCACTTTTATATGTATCTAGTGACCCGGTCCTAACCTGGCCATCCCATTCTGTCTACCATTTATCTCAGAAGAGTTCAGTAGGGCCGTTCGCAAAGTGCTCCATCAAGCAGACCTCAATGATATGGTAAGGATCGTCGACATTCCTCCCGCAAACCGTAAACAGCAACTAGTACGTAACCGCGAGTACGACCGTCTCTGTACAACTCCTCATTGTGTGATTTGTCCGTTTGGCAAGGAAGGAGACTGTATGGTAACAGGTGTTGTCTACCTTATCACGTGTACAACATGTGGAGACACGTATATTGGCGAGACCCGCCCCCTATGCACGCGCATCAAAGAACTCTTAGATGGTCTCAGCAAGGGCAATGCAGCTACTCCGTTAGGCATGCATCGCAGGCTCAGCCATGACGACGCGGGGGTGGGGGTGCAGGTTCGAATCCTGGCGCGTGAACCCGAAATCCTAGCGCGCAAGACACCTGAAGCGTTTTGGATAGCCGCCCAAAATCCAAAAATCAACCGGAAGGACGAGTGCCTAGCCATTACTAACGAGCTGTCACCATATCAGAGCCTCTGTGGCTTTTGAATAATGAGGTCAGGTCAGGACCAGGTCACTAGATACATATATCAAAAGTAAGGCAGTACAGTTTTTGACATAAGTGGTCTGCATTCACTAAGTCTATTATCTGTTAAGGTGAGCACCGGCTTAATCTTGCGTTTTGGTTGACGCTGTTGCTTTTCTAGAGGGTTGGGCTTTTTCTGTAGTCGACAAGGTGTTTGATCGGATAGCTCACCCATGTATTTTCGACTTTTCAGACTCTGAAGAAGGCGAGTTTGCCGAAACGTCAGTCTGTATATTGTGGTTGTGAAATGAATATCTGTACCAATCTTGGACGCTGCTAAGAAATGAATCCAGAAGAGCTTGTAGCTTCGTCCACAGAAGAGAGAAGCAGATAAGAAAGGCAGATTCGAAGTCAGCGTTTTATACTGCATTGAATGGTATACAGCTTGTTTGGTTTGGCCACTTCGACTTCTGACCATTCCCTTGTAGGTATATTCCTGTAGGTTGAGTGATGTCCTACATTCATATAGTAGTGCACGAATACATACATATACATAATACATACTATAGTTGAGACGAACGAAAAATTTTTTCGAATGAACGAATTTCGAATAATCCAATTTCAAAAATTATTCGAACGAACAAATATTATTCGAATTTGACTTTTGAATTATTCGAACTCGAATATTCGAATATTGATAATTCTCAAGGATTCGACTATTCGAATAATCGAATATTTGGACGCGACCGAATATTCGACTGTTCGAATAATCGAATAATCACATTTGACCGAATATTCGACTATTCGAATAATCGAATAATCAGGCATGACCGAATATTCGACTAGTCGAATAATTCGAATGAATCTAGTTTTGGATAAACTCAGTCCGAATGTCCTTCTATGGCAGCTTTGCAACAGGTGTGCTCGCTATTTCCATGGCGGATTGAGTAAAACCAAGTGTCATGGATGCTAGAAACCTAGTGTTTTAACGGAGACAGGATGATAGCTAGATTACCTTGTCAACTCAGTCGCAAGCTTGATATGATGCCTCAGAGTGTGACATGCCATTTATTAGTCACCAATAGCTATGTAGATATCATACAGCTTCAGTGCAATAAAAAAGCAAAGTAAGAGAAACGTAAAAAAACTATTTGACAAAGTTAAAGCACCGCTACACCGCTAAAGTCACTTGATAGAAGCACAATACGCAAAAATTACACCGACGCTTAGCTCTTCAAAGGGTTTCATCTACGTCTTCCAAATCCTCAATGTCATCAAATGCTGTTGTTGTGTCCTCGACAGGAGACTCAACGGAAGAGGAATCTTCATCGTCATCTTCACTGTCATCAACGTTCCTGTAGCGTCTCACTTCTGCAGCGCTCCAGCATTTACACTCCCTAAACATCTACGTTTGACTGATTGCGAATATATACTTATAGCTAGCCTTACCTTCCTATCTCCCTGTTGACATGCGCTTTGCACATAAGAAGCAATCGTGCGTTCTCACCGCACAAACGTCCCCTCCTTTTGTTACCATAGATGATTCAAGCAAGGCTAAATAAGCAAAGATAATGAACACGCGTTGAATAGTGCTTAAAAAAACAAAAACTTGCCTAAATAATCTTTCACAATCTACCGACGTTGCAGGTATGGCGAGGTAGTGTGGCATTTGCTTCGAGAGGATTGGAAATTCATTAGCGTGATTTTTCCACCATAGAAGAGGAGAAAGGTCCTTATCCGGTCGGCTCTTTTTTAGTAGAATTGAATATTGTTGCACCTCAATCTAGAAAATATTGTCATAGAAAAATCATAAAATGTTACTGCAGCCAACCATAGTTCCTCTCCCTGATCAGATAAGAGGCACCTCTTAGCGCTGGATTCATGCTCAGAGTCTGCTATGGGATCCCAGAAAGACGATACTTTGTCCCTGGCTGTAAGAGTGGGAACATCAAGGGATTCCTGACTACTTGGAAGGTGGCCCACTAAAATAAGAATGATTAGATTTTAGAAGCAATAAAACGAATATGCTTACTCTCAGACTCGATGAGTTTCTCGACTATTGTTTTCCACTCATCTGCAGATGCTATCCTTTCAAGGAACGCGAAGCGCGAGTCGAGAAGTGCAGCGATGCGCAGCGTTTCATCAGCGAAAGATGGGGCGAACTGACGTCGTGTTTCCATGAGCAGTATGCTTCCGAACTGCTTCAATTTGGTGCGAGGCTCGTTACAAGTGCTACAAATACAACATAATCTGCGCATTCGATCAAAACAGGTTTATAAGCACCTTTCCGTTTTGGCTAACAGAAGTTTCCCTCCAGCAAGCAGCAGCGAACACGTAGCTTCAGCTGCGCACATCTAGAAATTCTCTTGCTCATATCAGTCTATAGTATTTGCGAGAAGTCACCTTCTTGGTAAGTTCGTAATAAGGCTCAAGGAAAGCTCTCACTGTTTTCAAAGTTTTCAATTCTCCATCATCAGAAGGATCAATGGACTGATTTTCCATCAATTTATCCAACGCTCCCCTCTAAAAAATTGTGAGATTGTTAGATATGCGAAAACTAGCATATGTATATTACCGTGGCAAGGACATCGCAAATCATTGCGTAGGTAGACCCCCAACGTGTGGGGCAGTCGCTCGTGGGAGTTATTTTTGGAAGACTTAACTCTTTGAGATAGCTAAAAGTCATTTGTTGTAATCCGTCCAAGTATTGTACAGATGAGAACCTCTCAAAAAGTCCTCGCAATACACTACTGCGATTCAGCTTTGCAACAATAGTTTTACATTTCTGAACCAAGGGTAAAACATGCTCACAGGTGAGAGCCTTACGCACAGCCAGATTAATCAGATGTGCGCCACATTGGAGACTAAAATATACGTCTGCACTTTTCGAACTTGTGCGCTACTGCTCACACTCTATTTGATATTGAGATCAGCTGCCGCTCGCTTCATGTTGGATGCACCATCAGCCACCATAGCGCAGACTAAAGTTTCATCAATATTCAGTCTGCTAAGACTACATCTGATGTGATGGGCAATGAGGTCGGCACTATGACTGAAATAGCGTGCTCATGACTTATTGCTCGTAAGTGGCGTGAAGCTTTACCTTTCAAATCCGAGAGCGACGCAATCAAGGATAATGTTATGACGATTACTCGTCGTGGGCTCATTAATGTGGCCTGTGATCGCTAGGAGTTCGGTGTTTGCGTTGAAAGAGCTCCGCAGTCCGCTGTTATTGCCAAACTGCCTGCGCTCAGTATCAGCTGCTTATTGTCCTGGTCCATTCGAGCAACCTCGCTCTCCATAATGCTAACCAACGTTCTCCTTGATGGGGGGGATGTAGCCTGCATTTAGCGACTGCACAAAGTGGCGAAAACTTCTTGATGATGGTAAGTTGAAGGAAAGCGATTTATCTGCGATTAGCATGGCGAGTCGTGTGTTTGCAATTCTGCGGGCTTCACTTGTCATTTTTGGTGAAAATGCCGTTATTATGGAGGGCTGCGACTTCTGAGTAGTAGGCGGCGTAGCTGGCTGCTCCTTCTTGACTCGTTGAACTTCCTGTTTATGATTCTCGTTGAGATGTATGAGCAGGTTCGTGGTAGTCTTCGATAATGGAATTTTCATTTTTTTCTTACAAATATTGCAAGTAGCAATGCTGTTCCCTTTTTCATCGGACGTTTTGGTGAAAAGCTTCCAGACTACGCTCATGCTGAACTCAGCTGAAATAGATTGACTTGTGAAACCTGTTTTTTTAGGGTTCTAGGTTCTACAAAAAAATTTCCGTTTTTACCTTCTTCTGTGAAAATCTATAAGAATTGAAATGTGGCCTTTCTTTGCTATGGTGTTCTTTACTGTTAACACTGCCGTAGATGACAACCTGCAGAAAACCTTGTAAGTGCAATTACGTGAAATTTGCTAATGTTCAAACATCGTGCCAAGAAAACACTTGGCGCTTTCCTGATGCCCAAACTTATCGTATGAATTGAACTGTTAGCTGTTTATTCCACCATATCTATTTCCTTAAAAATTCATTCGATCGTTCGACAATGGTTTAATATTGTATTGCAAAAAATGCTGTTGTCGGTCTTTATACTAAAAGCGTCAGGTGTTACCAAAGGGCTGTAACAGTGCAGAACTGCAGCACATGAAAACTATTAGTTGTCCATACACAAATAGGTAGTTTGCCTATTGTATTAACTGCTGCGAAAAATAATCAGTCGGGTTGTGGAATAAATTTTGAGTCCGTGAGAGTACAAAGGACAAGCTTATTGGGAAAAACCATGAATATCCGCTATTTAATATAAATCTTGCTCTATTACTAAGACTCGATATAATCGCAACAGATCATGGAAATAGTGTAAAGTTTGTAATGGTGTTGTCTTTGGAGCTTTTTTTCTTCTAGCGGTATTTCTATCCACCATGTACAAGCTGTTTAAGTGTATAATATTCTGCGTTATCTAGCCCCGAATAGAAAAAAAATTTGGTTAGTCATCGCACCTAAAGAAAGGTTTTTCACTGGGCCAAAGAAAACCTCATAAACGGCTTTTGGTTGTTTGTAGCTATACACCTGCCTGTATTGAAAATACTTTTTTTGCGCATGCGCGTAAAGAGCAATATTGTCTGAATAAATAATCAACAGTTTCAATATTTTTTTTCGATAAACACGACCTAATCGCTTCTACTTAATCGGAGCAATGTCCTACGACATGATTCTATTATATTTGGGTCATGCAAAACGTATGCTTGCCACTGGAATGTACAGTCGAGTAGATTTCGCGGTAAATATAGTGCGCCTGCAGATGCGGCAGCACTTACGCGTGTATAACTGCCGCCGAAGGAGAAGTCCTAGGTAATCCGGCGTTTTCTTTGCTCACTCTTCATTTTTCAGAGATGCTTCAGTCGACTAGGAGAAGAAGGTAAGTTAGAAAACACTTTTGTTATTTTGAACAGTCAAATCGTCGGTTTTGAGTTCATTGTTCAAATGAACCTCCTCGGAGCTGCATCGCCTTCGGCGTTTGTGAGAAGACCCTTTCTTTCATTTTTCCATTGAAGAACGTTTCCATACCGGGCTTATAGTTTTTTCGTTCATTCGACGTTCACTTGTAAAATGGAGTACTGATGTTAGACAATGTTACTTTCAGGTGACTATTGTTGTTTAGTATTTCGACTCTGGAGAGACCCATTATGGTGAGGAAACGTATTTCGATAGAAAAGAGTTGAAAGAAAGGGTTATCCACAAACTATTTCGATAGAAAAGAGTTGAAAGAAAGGGTTATTCACAAACGCCAAAGGCGATGCAGCTCCCAGGAGGTATACCTGAACTTACATGAACTCAAAACCGACGATTTGACTGTTCAAGATAACAAAACTGCTTTCTAACTTACCTTCTTCTCCTAGTCGACTGAAGCATACCTGAAAAATGAAGAGTGAGCAAAGAAAACGCCGGATTACCTAGGACTTCTCCTTCGGCGGCAGTTATACACGCGTAAGTGCTGCCGCATCTGCAGGCGCACTATAATTACCGCGAAATCTACTCGACTGTACAATGTACAGAGTGGCAAAAAGATTATTTAGACTAGGCAGCGGTCTATTTCTATCCAACACATGCACAAATAGTGTCACTGTATAATATCGTAATAGCAGTGATTGGTTCCAGATTCAAAAGAGTATTCTTATGCAATGGAAGCAACGTCTAGTTCGCAACCCTAAATAGAAAATGCGTACAGAAAATTATTCCGAGTTGACTGGTTCTCGCACGATGAAACAAACTCTCAAGCACTTCTTAGAAAGTCAAAAATAGGCCGGAATTGAGCTTTATGTAGGCTTTGCTATTTGGGCGCACGATAATCTTGCACAATGCTCTTTTAGGACTCAACAGGTACAAAAAACTAGTGTAACCGTGAGATTCACAATGGCGGAAAAGTATGGGAAATTTTCGAGCTAAAAGTATACTCCTATTTTCAGATGTATAAGCCGCGGGGTGGTCCCAGCTTACAAGGACCAGCCCGAACACATCAAAGAACCTCGCGACCAAAGAATACTATACCGTGCTGCGTATTGCCTGAAAGAATCATGCGGCATAAGGATCGCTTCTCAAAACACAATGAAGCGTCTGAGCAGCTCGGGCGAAAATTTGAAAAAGTGCGGCTTATACACCTGAAAATAGGGTAAATCTACATTTCTAAATCCATCATCCAGCTTAGTAGTAAAAGACATACTCTAACAACGGAATAAATAGGAATGAGAGCTGAACCAGAGGAATGGAATTCGATAGACTTATGTGCTGATATTTGATGTCAATGTATGTCAAAGCAGATGTCAATCAAGAAGTAAAAAAGTAGATGTGGGAGGAGTGCTGTCTTCCTAATACTTTTTTTTTCACCAAAAAAGCAGTCTTTCGAACGGAAATGAGGCAGGCACTCAGTGAGTACCATTTTTGGGCTCCCAGCCCCTTTTCTCGTTTCATTGCTTTTTCGTTCTTTCTTTTACCCCGCTTCCCTTTTTGTTGTGCAGCGCTCCGAACTTGAAGCGTGGTAGAAGAATGGACGAAAAAACAATGAAACTGAAAAAGAAAAGGGCTGGGGGAGGAGCTGGGAGGATGAATGGAGCACAACCGCGTTCATTCTTCTATCCCGCTTCAAGTTCAGAGCGCTGTACAACAAAAAGGGAAGCAGGGGAAAAGAAGGAACGGAAAAGCAATGAAACGAAGAAAGAAAAGGGGCTGGGAGCCCAAAAATGGTACTCACCAACAGAGTGATGGGATTTCCTCCTCTTCTGCACTGTTTTCTTGCTCCCTCTCACGAATAATGCCTGCGAAGATATCGCAGCGGCCTCCTGGAAACAAATGGTATAGATTTGTGCAATAAAACGAAATGAACGGGCGCGAAAGCACGATTGACGAGTGGGATAGCACGCATAATCAGACACACAGAGCAAAACAACGCCTTATTCCTCAACCCCACTTCGAGTTCGAAGTTCTGCTCAAAAAGGGAAGCGTGGTAGAGGAATAAGGCGCGCAAATGAGAGAAATCTAGAAGGAAAACCGTTGAAAACGGCCAAAATACTCGAACTATTAGGGGAAACGCGCTGATGCAAAGGAAACGTAAAGCAATCGATTGATATTTGGGCGGGGTCCCGCAACGAACCGCGTTCTTTGAGAGCTGTTGCGCGTGGTAACAATTTTCCCCATACTAGAGGCTCCGGAGGGTGAAGAGGTGGTTCAGAACCGGCAAGAGGAGGCGACGGTGAAGTTTTGTAAAAGTTATGCTGGTTCGAATATTCGAACATTCGAATAAGTCGGTTGCGAATAGTCGAACATTCGAATAAGTCCTTTTTTTATTGCGTCGAATATTCGAATATTCGAATACTGGTTTTTTCCAACGGATCGAATATTCGAATATTCGAAAATGCTGTTTTTCTAGATGGGCGAATGAACGAATATTCGAATAATTGCCTCTTTTGTATATTCGACTATTCGAGCAGTCGAATAATTGCGTTTTTTTCAAACATTCGACTATTTGAATATTCGAATAGTCGAATTTTTCGAATAAATTATTTGAACTCGAATATTCGGTCTCAACTATAATACATACATACATACGTGCTTTGAGACAGTGCGTATGATTTACTGCTGCAAATTGGGCCAGACTTTGCAAATCACAAGCATAGACACGCAATTTCAGCGTACCTCATGTGTCTGTTTATTGGGCACGTGCATGTGTGCGAGGAAGTTCACAGTCAAAAAGTTTCGGTTTTTTATTTTATTTTTGTGATAAGCGAGGCGTGCGATTAGCATACTCAGCGAAGAAGTGTGGGACAATCTTAATTCAAAAATCAGTTTATAACATTACGAGCAAATTGTACAAAGCAAATCTTGCACTTTTGTTTGTATAATATAGTGCTGCGAAAGTTTTGTCCAACTTGCAAATTGTCATTCTTTGAAAGTCATAACTTTTTTTCAAAGCATAGTTTGATAGTTTTTTACTGAATTAAACCTTTTTTAATCAAAAAGCAGTACGATACTGAGTACAGCAAGCGAGTAAGAAGCGATATTTGGGATTATTTCAAAGAAAATCTCTTTGAACTTCAAAGAAAATCTCTTTGAACGTCTATTCTGAGTTAGTAGTGCTTTCCATTAACGAGAGGGAGGTATATTTGATAGCCATTATTGAGTAGCTTTGATTCCAGAGTTTACATCATATTTGGATAGTCCATGTGTTTTCGACGTCATGTAATTTTTGAGAGCAATTCTAAAAAACCAGTGAAGGCTAGAAAAAATACAGTTTTGGGCTGTTTCAAAAATAATGTCGCTTTTTCAATTAAACGATATATTTCGGTGGATAAAAGTTTTCTGGAAGATCTTGGTAGCATTTGATGCAGCATTTTATCCTCTTTCCAACCAGCGCACCACATTTAATGAAGTCTGGGAAAAAACAAAATCTGCGATCTATGATTTTAAGATAATCATGTTTGACAATTTTTTCTAAATCTTCGTAACAGCCCACAAAAAGAGTCTAACTAGCAGATGGCTATAGCAAAGCTTATAAAAAAAATGAAGACCGGCGAATAAACTAGGTGTTTTCGATGCAGCTTTTTCTCCTCTTTCCAACGAATGTTTTTTATTTCTAGTTCGTTAAATCCAAGGATAAAATCGTCTAATTTTTTTATCTCGCCGTAACAGAAATAATCGAGAATTGCTGTATCGAATCCGCGAACTTTTTTGCTTTGTCAAAACAGCGTTAAAAATAATCCTTTTTTGAAAATTTCAAATTTCTCAAATTTCTTGTTGTTTGTATCTAACTTTGGCCCGCCAAAATCGGTCGTTTTAGCAGAAATTTTTAAAAAAATTACGACGAGGTTATGGGAAAAGATGAACAAATTCTTTTGTATCCTGTAAGGTTTTCTCTGCCCATCCGCTACTCAAACTTCTTGGGGGGGGGGGGGGTTAATATACAGGGTGTCCCAAAAAAATGTATCGAACGTTTGACCGTTAATATCTCTCTTCCCAACAAGTCTTTTACCTTGCTTCAGGTACTGTTTTGTAGAGCTGGGTTCAACTTAGATTCACAGTATGAAGCGAATCATCGATTGCTCTTCATTACTGTAGGATTACGGTAGAAACTTGAAACATATGGTGTCAATGTGGAAAAAGCTGCCGTCTCAAAATTTTTCAAAAAATTGTGAAAACTTGTGTAATAGCGTTTTTGTGGGCGCTGAGTTCAATACTCAACTATTCACAAGATTACGAAGCTTTCTAAACGGTGTAACCGCACTTTTTAGGAACATTGAAAAAATGGCCGTTACCTCTTACCTGGCATAACTCTTCAATGAAGCATCATAATAAGTTGGAAACTTTACAGTTATAATCACAACTCTAATTATCCTAATGTAAAAGCTTTCAGGCTGTTTTGCTTACTTTCTGAGGCAAAATATGGCCTTTCATTGCTTAGAACCCTCACTTTGGAGTTTCTACCGTAATCTTACAGTAATGAAGAAAAATGAGTGATTTGTTCTATAAAGCAAATCTAAGTTGAAGCCAGCTCTACAGATTGGTACCTGAAGCAAGAGAAAAGACTTCTTTAGAAGAGAGATATTAACGATCAAACGTTCGATACATTTTTTTGGGACACCCTGTATATATGTTCAAAAAAATTGTCACTTGACCATTTCAAAAAGCATGGACATGGTTTTGGCAATTGTCCAAGACATTATTGATTGTGCTGCAATGTCTTATGACCTCTAGATAAAGGATAAAACGCTGCGTCATATGTTACCAAGAAATATTAGAGATCTTCGTTTTACGAGATGTGACGCTCATTTTAAAAAAGCGCAAAAGAATTCGAACTAATTGGCTTTCCAATTTTTGCCGTTTTCTTAAGCTTATACAGGATGTTCAGAAAATGTGCCTATTAGTTGATTACTGATAACTTTTTTTGTCATAAAGTTTTTGGAGAACCTTTACTTTTACATTTTTAAGGAGTGGCTTTAACTTAGATTTACAGCTTGGGGCGGACTTCTGATCTTTTTTCGTTACTGTTAGAATACGTTAGGAACTTTCAGAAAACAGCGCCTCTAAAAGTGTTTGATAGAGAAAAGTCTAAAGAAATCGCGTGTAGCAGGGTTTTGCCGCATGCTGATTTCGTTACACAACTTTTTGCAAGATTTTCGATTTTATTCAATAGTGTAATTACATTTTCGAAGAACACTGAGAAAGCAACTGCTATGGCTTACCAATAATGATGAATCAAAGAAGCCTTGATGCACAAATTTCCTATATAAAATTAGCAGCTTTGAACAGCCTGCTGTGAAGTTTTAAGCTTGTTTTATTCTCTTTTTCAAGCAAATTGCAAATCTTAGTGGCTTACAACACTCTTTGAAGTTCCCATCGTAATAATTCTGCCATGGTAACGAGTGCGGTAGTTTGCTTTATACTGCAAACCTGAGTCGAAAAATATGGTATCTAGGATTTACCTTCTCCAAAGACTGCTTCACTCTCTGTCAAGAAAGTCATTAGAATCATGCAGTAGGCATATTTTTGGGACACTCTGTATGGGGCTGATGCAGAAGTAGCGAGCAATGTGTATGCCGCTGTTGGTTTAGAATCAGTAAAATTTAAAATGTTTCCCCTGTTCTCGAAGGAAGAGAATTGCTGTAAAGCAGACAAAAATCTGGGAAATGCGGCTTGTACGAATTCTCGCTCCTGTTCATTAGGTTCATGGTAAAGGTTAGTATGAACACTTGCAAGTGAATAGATAGCAAGAAATTTAGATTTATCATAATAGAAACTTTCTCATGGCTGCTTTCCCCTTTCCATCGTGGGAGTCAATGCTGCGACCCTAAGGTCTTTCTCGATATTTCGAATGCAGATTTGATGAGACACAAGAAGTGAAAGCATCAAAGCTCATGTTGCAGGACAGTTTGCAGCGATCGTGAATTTGTGTGTATGTTTTGAACAAGCAGTTGCGTTTTGGTTGGCGCCTTGGTATCGGTGTAAATGGGGAAACAAATATAGAGCGTGCTTGATCTTGTATTCTTTTGTTATATGTTTGGTGAGTGAAATAATTGGGAATATATAAACGGAAATTAATTTGTAGATATCCATTTTGGCTGGATCGGTGAGAGGCTTGACTTCTGGTCAAGACTTGAGTACGCGAGATTGTAGTGCTACTGAAATGACTAGTAAGATCTACATGACTCTACACCAACTTTTGATGTGCTCAAGCTACCTTATCTCGTTCCTATCATTGCTCGCAATCAACAAACTAGGAAAAGCCAACAAAAACACGCAGGTATATACTGCATTTTACTCAACAAAGATTTATAACAAGGCCAAGTTTTTAAAGAAAATTAACAAATGAAAATCAAAGTATGTAAAGGGCATTAGTATTCAGAAGGCGACGCCCTGCACGAGCATCTACAACAAAGCCGCCTGTTTGACACAAATCACGTAGCTACAGCTTTTAGTTGTTCATGGAGGGTGGAGCTTGGACTGCATAATGTCCTCTTTTCAATTGAACTTATCGTTAGCTGAAAATGATTGATGGAATTGATACCCATATCATTTATTACTGCATAACCTCAATTTCACAGACACCTCGTTCAAAGAAGCTGTATTTGATTCTAATCATCAATGGAATCTCGGTCATATTGCTCTCTGTACCGACAGCTATGATTGTGCTAAGCAGATATGAATTGTTGAGTATTCCTTCATTTTTGGGAGGTAAGCCAAGTATAAGCTTTTGCAAGACGAAGGCGGTCGATTCGATGTGGCTGTGACGCAACCGTGCCGCCGTCGCGTTATACACCGAACCAACCGCCTTGCAGGAGCTTATACAGCCATATATGGCCATATTGAATCCAGTTTGTAATGCAGGTGTTCTCTACTGCTTTTCTACAATTCATTCTGGACTACAGTTTTTGGCCTACCTGATTTTACCTCAATTCCGGAAAAAACTGCGATTTCGCGGAATGACTGAAGTGTCTCGAACAGTTCAACTGCAAGTATCGTCAAGTCGTATGTATAAGCCGACGGCAATCTTGCTAGTAACTCATAAGTAAATTTTCCAGTTTAACAAATTCTAGAATATGCACCACGGACTAAAACCATCAAGGAAACAAGAGAAATTATTGAAAATATATAGGCTTTAATTTTGCAAGAAATTATTGGAAATAAGTAGCTCTAAGTTTACAAATAGTCATAAAGCGGAAGTGATGTGCAATACGCATATTGAGTTGCAAAAGCTTGGATGATACTCGAGTCACTTGTAATCTAACATGTGTACTGCATGACGCTCTAACTCGCGAATTATGCCATTGAAAGTTGCTCATTCTGAAAGGCTTGCTTCGTTTTCTCCTCTTTTTGAATATGTGTAATTTTGTAACTTATCGAATCTTTTGCTTTCGGTTGATTTGCATTAAATCGCATTGCATTAACTTTATTTGTAACTAAAATATCATGGATTTTGGGCAGATGTGCTGATACCTTATTAAGTTGCAAGTGACTCAATTGGGGGAACAGAACCGGAACCGGATACGCTCGCTACCACTTAGTTAGCAGAGAGAGGTCATGAACTGCTAGCATCATTAACTTGCACCCCGAGGAGAGCTGATTCTGCATACGATAACTCATCATTCTACACTTTATGAGAACTGGAGTTTCTTGAAAATTCGAACGCAAAGTTCAGTAGTGATTTCGTCTAAGGGAAGATTTGTATCTAAGGGTATTTTGTCATGCTGCTTTTGATTATATCCCGTAGTAAACCTCTATTCATCTCAGGTGACCTGAGATTAGTCACTGAGAAGAACTTCCTGGGGTAAACCTAATCCCGCCCACCTTCTCGTGCTTCATGACAGTCATTTCAACAGCCAGAAAACTGTCTGATCAAGGGCCACAGTCAGTTCAAAAGAATGCCATTTATTCGAGGTTGAATATCTTTATCTTTATCTTTGCATTCAAGGTGTACCATTTAAGGTATGAAAACTGTTAGCGTGGGGCCAGTCGTCCTAGACATTCAAAGAACAACAGAAAGCTCGTACTTCGATGAGTAAAGCAAAAGAAAGCACAGGATAATGTACCCACAACAACGAAAAAAGATGCATTCAATGCAAGTAAATTATACAACTATGAATTGGAATGCCAGGAGAATAGCAGTGGGGACTGCTATCGCTCAAGGATAATCGGAGCGGTTCAAGCGAGGGTATTGGCTTAGGTAGGTATCCACCAACCTACATCCCCAAGCCTTGAACAAACCTGACAAATTTCAAGTAGAAATATCCTTAATAAAAACGATTCTCAATCCAAAAAAATCAATATAGAGTAGGACGAAGTGACTCCTCCATGAATAAGCGGTTAGTAACAAAAGAAACGCAACACAATAGCAAAACACTGCCATAATCTATCACGAGTAAGAGAAACTGCTATATCCGTCCGACACTAAGGCCCGTATGCACGTACATCCCCGCGGGGAGGGGATTTGCGCTTAACCATTGAAATGATCCCCGCCGGGGATCCCCTCCCCTCCCCGCGCGAATCCCCGTATGCACAAAGACAATATCGTACAAGGGATCCCCTGTGGGGAGGGGAAGTGAACCCTCTTATGCACAAGAGGGGATCAAGCGGGGAAATCACCTTGCTTTCAAATTTTCTATGAAAAACTTTTTCTTATTTCATATTTTGACTGCAACTCATCTTCATCTCCTCACTTCAATTAATTTAGGGTTTCGGAATGTGCGTATGCAGTGACTGCGCTCGGGGCGCTAAAAATGATTTTTTCTACTCCCATTACGTTCCTGCTTTTTTGGATGCTGCCCACTTTCGTTCATGCTGCTCCATTTCAGCGTCAAAATGTTGAACTATAGAAGTTGATGTGTCTCTGCAAGGGAATGGGTAGAAGACGTTATGCTGCCGAAAAGGGGGGGGGGGGGTGCCGCGCGGACGCTCAAAGCAGTATTCTAACACAGAACAGAAGCTGCAAATTGTGCCAGCTCTCCATAAACGCTGTAACTATCAGCTGCATATCGTCGTTTATCCCAGGGGAATGATCCCCAGCAGCCATCCCTGCTATGCACAAGGGGAACGCTGGGGAGGAGATCACTCCCCAGGGGATTTCTACTCAGAAATAGGCAAATATGCTACTTTCTAGATTTTTTCGAGGCAGCTTATGTTAAAAAAAAACAACATAATGGCAACATGTCATGAAATATGAAAGTTACAGTGTGTTTATTCAGCCTATATAGTTAAAACTATTATGTTATATGAAAAATGCGCAAATTTCCTGAATGATCAAGAACTCCTACAAATAATCGAAATTGGCAGCTATTGTTGCTCGGATTTCTTCTCAAGAGGCGAATATAGAAAAGAAAGACAAATAGCAGGCCACAGGTCGCTGAGAGAAGAACCCGGCTTTCAAAGGAAATCCTCCATCAAAATGAAAAATGCTTGGTAATGACTGAGCAGAACCAGAATATCCGCATCTCTGGCATGATCTACACCTCGAACCCCTACTTCGTTGCAGGGGATGTCGATCCCCTCCCCCGCGTTATTGAGTTGAATTCGCGCATACGGGGTTCGCTCGATCAATACCTCTGAAATCATTCACACCATCCCCGCTTAGGTGCAGGGGAGGGGATCGCTCCCCTCCCCTCTGTCATGGCGGGGTTGGGCGGAGGGGATCGTTCCCCTGGGGATCCAGCTCCCCTCCCCTCCCCAGCGGGGACGTACGTGCATACGGGCCTAAAAAAGCCAAAGCATCGAGCGAGTCCACAATAGCAGAAAAACGTAGCCATGACCATTAGAAAACGACAAGAACGAAACTGAAAAACATATTAAATTGATGAAAACTTTAATTAAAAAGGTGGAAGATGACTGTCAACTCTGGTTAACTTATCTCTAAAGGATCGCACATTGGATGAACCAACTATGTCCTTAGGTAAAAGCTGAAACCAACGAGCAGATCTATGAAATTTATTGTTGTACATTTTCTCCCTATTGTAATGTAAGTTGAAACCTTCCAACCTTTGACTAGCTGGCATAAATATCCAGTACTTACTAGCTTTTAGTCTGATCTCCCCTCTGAGCACTTGGAAACAGAAAACAAGATCAGAAATATCACGGCGATAAGAAAAACTCTGGAGAGTAAGCTTTTTTAACCGTATACTATAAGCAGGTGGGACACTATTGCGAGAGGTGTGTTTATACAAAAGAAGTGTAAAGGTTTTTTGTACCTTTTCAAGTTTACAAATGTCCTTTCGTCTAGTAAGGAACAATATTCCAGGTGTAGACGAACAAGAGTCTTTAAAGAGCGTCAAAAGAACAGGAGATTAGTCTTTAAAAGTCTGAAAAATAAGAACAAAGAAGGGTAAGCTCTCTTTACAATAGCGTCCACCTGTTCAGTAAATCTAAGTCTTGAATCAATGATCACTCCTAAATCTCTAGCTGAGCAACACACCCTCAAAGCAGTGCCACCAGCTACATAGGTGCCTACAAACAGGTCACCCATATGCAGAACAAAGATTTTACGAAGATTGAGTGATAAATTCCATTGACCAGCACAAGTGACCAACTGTGTAAGCGACTGTCGCAATGCTGATTGAACCTGCGATTGATCTTAAGGACTATATATACCGTATATTTTGATATCATCAGCATACATCTGCACTTTTATATTAGAGGAGGTTTGAAGTCTTCGAGGTAGATCGAGGGAATATCAGAAAAAGTAGAGGCGACAACACTGCACCTTGCGGAACACCACTTGCACAACTATATGTATGCGAAAAACCATTACGAACCTTGACTGTCATAAAGCGATTGTGCAGATATGAGGCAAACCAGTCGAGCAAAGAGCCGTCTATGCCTTGTGCCTCCAACTTGAGTAGCAGTTTACCGTGGCTAACTCTCTCAAATGCTTTAGACAGATCAATATAAAAGCACATCTACAGACTTTCGGTGGTTCAAAGCTAGCATCCAATCGTAGGTACTATCAATAAGGTTAGTCGTAGTAGAGGCACCGCTAATGAAGCCATGCTGCTCAGCGGGGATCAAATGCATTATGTTAAGCCATGACAACAGCCTATCTCTTACAATTCTTTCCATGACTTTAGATGATGCTGGTAGAAGGCTAATTGGTCGAAAATCACTAATCGACTTAGCTCCTTGGATCTTTGGGATAGCAGTCACCAGGGCATGTTTCCATAAGTCCGGCACCTCACCTAATAGCATAGAGATGTTGAAAATATGTGCCAGCGGGATCGATAGAGAAGCTGCACATTTTTTTATGAACAATGGGAGGAATGCTATCATAAGTTTCTGTGGTAGACGACTTTAGCTTCCTCAGAAACTTGAAAACTTCAGATGGCTCAAAATATACACAACTACAATGGCTCTTTGGCATTGCAGTATTGTCAGGTGCAGGGAATTCATGATCATTATCATTAGTAAAGACACTTGCAAAGTAAGTGTCTAGGATTCTGGCTTTATCAGCATCAGTAAAATGAGAAATTCCCAACAGATAAGTGTGGGGCACTGGCTTTCATTTTGGATTTGATACACCGATACAGTTTTCGAGCCGATACTTTTGTTGCGAGACGTCGCTCACGATTCGCAAGAAATTTTTCTATATGATCAATATCTTGGCACACTTTCTTGTACAAAAGGATGGTGCAATGGATCATGCAATCTATTAAAAAGGCGACATTTTTGCATATTCAGTGCAAATATATGTGACAATTCATAACCGTTTCATGTGAATATCTCATAGTAACAAACATGCCAAGGGCGGAATAGATTATCTTGCAAAATCTGCGGTAAACTTCCGAAAATGTTTCATATTGATTGAACTGTGCAAGCCAATCAATACTTGAAAGAAATCATTCAGTGCCTTGTAATCCACTCTTCAAAAATATGGTAATGGAAGAGATGGCAAACCCACGGCCTCACGCCCCATGATTTCAAACTGAACTATCCCATGATCCGAAGAGCCAAGTGGTGAGAGAACGTCTACATTAGCAATCTGGGCGGCAGGAGAGAGAACCAAATCAAGACATGGTCATTGCACGTAGGATAAGAAA